CACTCTACCCAGGGGGATAGCTTGAGGCTCTGTCTCAAAAAAAAAAAAAAAAAGAATATCCAGCTTGATGAAAATATTTCAGATTGTATATAGAACCAGCACACTGTACCCCATGACTGCATTAATGTACACAGCTATGATTAAATAAAAAAGAAAAAGAATGAATATTTAATTTATATATTTTTTTATTATTACAAATCTTGTAAAGAACATCATTTTATATAGATACTCTTCTGTGTGATTATTTAAAATAATTTGAAATGATTTGAAACGAAATTAAATTGTCAAAAGAAGAATGTTTAAAACTGTGATCATACAAGATCAGACCTTAATTTTTTACCAAACTCTAAAATATTTTAAAGAGATATATGTACCCTGATTATTTTATACGCTAACCAAGAGAAAGTTATCAATTTTGCAAGGATTTTAGTAATGAGATTAGGAAGAATTCATTTTATTATTCTCATTTATTTGATTATAAATGAATGCCATCACCTCATCAAATATTTATTAACTATCTCTATTTCTTATTTTATACTTCCCTTGTAATGTTGTTTATTCATATTTCTTTCATTTTTCTTCTCTATTCTATGTGTAACATTCTAGTTTTAGATTCTGTCTTTTTTAGCTATCTAAGTGGTAAATATTTTCACCATTTTCTAATAATCTAGTATAAGACATCTTTTGCCATAGGAAATTTAAAGATTTTCTATAATGACTACGGCAATCACTGCCTTGGGTGCCTGACGAGCTGGGTCCACCTGAGGAGGCGCCATGTCAGGAAGAAAACAAGTTACCCTGACATGGGGACAGAGAGGATGCCATCTGTGGATGACATCACTCAACAGGGTACTCCAGATCTCCATACCACAGGGCAGAGGGCACTCAATTGAAAATTCTTTCAGTCTTTTTGTTTCTGTCTTTAACTGGTGCAGAATTCCTGATTCCTGGTTTACTACCTGAGCCCAAGCAGGTTTCTCATAGTTCACGTATTTAAAATGAAGATCAGACTGAGAACAGCCTCCTTCAGCTATTTGGAGGAGTAACTGAAGGAACAAAATACAAGTCACTGGAAAAATCTGTTGGTATCAAGGACATTTATTCTAAGGTCACCTACTACTTTGGTCAAATTCCTTATCACATAAAAGAATAAGAAAAGGCCAGTAAATAAAATACACACAAGGCATGACTCAGGCATGGGGAAACAGAATCTAGCTCTTCCTGTTTGAAAACCTCCAACAAGACTTGAGTGAAGCCCCAGTTACAGCCTGCGGTGCTGTGCCACGTGTGGATACCCCATCTAGCAAACAGCCAATAAGGCACATGTCAAAGGCACATCTGTGAAAAAGTACATTTTCAAAATTGAGTTCCTAGTGTCAGTGAGTGGAAAGTAATTAAAAAGGCACATCGATTCATTGAGAATATGAGGGAACCATAAAAAATGAACATTATATAGTATTAAATGAAAAGTGTACAATTTAAATTAGGTGACTATTGATACAAACACAGTTATGAATATACATGAGGAAGACTGTAAGAAAAAAGTAGCAAATGATGTGAGCAGGGAAGTATAGTAAAAGAATTATCTATTCCTACTATTTCCTCTACTCCATTAAAAAAAATGATACAAGAAAAAAGTAAGTGCTGGCCGGGTGTGGTGGCTCCCCCTGTAATCCCAGCACTTGGGAGGCCAAGGTGGGCTGATTGCGTGAGCTCACAGGTTTGAGACCAGCCTGAGCCAGAGCAAGATCCCATCTCTAAAACATAGCCAGGTGCTGTGGCAGGGGCCTGTAGTCCCAGCTACTTGGGAGGCTGAGGCAAGAGGATCACTTGAACCCAAGAGTTTGAGGTTGCTGTGAGCTAAGACACCACAGTACTCTACCAAGGGTGATCGAGTAAAACTCTGTCAGAAAAAAAAGGAAAAGAAAAGAAAACAATAAGTAAAACTAAATGCAAAGGCAACACAAAAGAGGCAAAGGAAGCACCTGGCACCCAACAGGTCCTCAAATGCCTGTTGTTCTCCTTGAGTCTTCCCAAGACAGAGTAAAACACATGACAATCTGAGCAGTGAGACGAAATTTTAACACCAAGAGAGGCAAGCCTTACTTACCTTGAACGTGGTCATTTTTAATTCAACTTCTGGAAATTTGCGGAGTCCTGAGTTATGCAGTTCATGGGAAGGCAAAATCGTGTCTAGAATGTGCCTGAAAGAGACACACGAAAGGGTAGCCAGGGATGATACCCAGCAATAGGCATGTGTATTATGAATTAGCAGGAGAATGTTCTTGGCAGCATTATTTGTAATAACTCATAACTGCAAACTATGAAAATGCCCTCCTGTGGGTAAATGGATAGACAAATTGTGGCATACAAAGTCTGACAATTAAGTTTGCAAACTCATCCTAGAAAAATTACTGTATACCTCACTGCTGAATTGGGAAGCTATGCACTGATGCCAGGGCCTCGTCCACCCTTCAAAGCAATTTTGGAACTCTTTTTCTAGAATGGCCATCAAAGCAGTCATTGTATTACCCTTGATGTGGCAAATGTTATCAAAATGTCTTCTTTTCAGTATTTTCTTCATCTTTGGGTAAGGAAAAAAGACACTGGTAGTGAGTAGTGAGGGTGCTCCAATACAATTATTTGTTTATTAGCTAAAAACTCCCTCATAGACAGTGTTATATGAGCCAGGGCATTGTCATGAGGCAAGAGCCACAAGTTGTTGGCCAAGATTTTCTCTTTAGATGTTTACTTGGTCTGCTATGCTTCTCACACTCAACTGACAATTTTGACATACAACTTGATAAATTTTTGTAATGTTTTCTTCAGTTCTGTTTGTTACGGGCTGCCCTGACCTCTCTTCATCAGTGATGCTTTCTCTCCCCTCAGAAAAACGTTTAACCCATTTGTACACAGCAGTTTTCTTCATGGCATTATCCCCCTAAACTTGGACTAACATGTCCCTGATTTCACTTCTACTCTTGCCAAGCTTAGCAAGAAATTTTTGCTTTTGTGAATGTTTGTTCTTTGGTCTAATTAAAGCTCCAAATTCTCATGATGGCACACAAAAACACACAACAACAATGAATGCCACTCAGCAACACCACCACATGTCAACATGCACATGATGTGAGACACTGATACACCAAGGTTATGACACCTTGCCAAGTTGTTTGCATAGTGCTGCCAATATAAGCCCTGGGTAGCAAGTTTGTGAACTTAATTGTCAGACCTTGTATTCATACAATGGAATGTTATTCACCTATTAAAAGGAATGAAGTACTGAGTCATGCTACAACATGCATGTACCTTAAAAACATTATGCCAAATTAAAGAAGTCAGTCACAAAGGACCATATATGGTTAATTCCATTTCTATGAAATGTCCAGAGTAGGTAAATGTATATATAGAGAAAGTTGGTTAGTTATTGCTTTGGATTTAAGGTGAAAATGAGGTTTAACTGTAAGTGGCTAGGAATTCAAGTGGGTGATAATAATGACCTAAACTGAATTAGAGTGATGGTTACTCCAGTTGGCAAACATTCTTTTTTTATTTTTAGAGACAGAGTCTTTCCCTGGGTAAAGCGCCATTGTATCATAGCTCACAGCAACCTCCAACTTGGGCTCAAGTGATCCTCTTGCTTCAGTTTTCTACTTTTTAGTAGAGACAGGGTCTTGCTTTTTGCTCAGGCTGGTCTCGAACTTGTGAGCTCAAGCAATCCAGCTGCCTCAGCCTCCCAGAGTGCTAGGATTATAGACATGAGCCATCGCACCCAGCCAGTTGGCAAACATTCTAAAGATCATTGGATGTACACCTGAAATAAGTTTTATGATATGTAAAATATACCTCAATAAAGTTGGAAAAATATTTGTTGATATATATGTCACTTAAATTAACGAGTTGGTTCTGAGTCCATATTGATAGAATATTTATGATTGAACAAATGAATGAATACATGCAGGAGAGGTTATAGTAGAATGCCCACTTCCAGGATGGGCAACAATGAGACCATATCTCTAGAATATGTTTTTTTAAAAAAATCAATGTGGGGTAGAATAAATGTCTTAACATAATAACTAAGAAAAAAATATGAAGGCTATGTTAACCAGATGGATGAAAGTATTTCAAATTGTATACAGAAACAATACACTGTACCCCATGATAGTATTAATGTACACTGCTATGGTTTGGTGCCTGTGCCTCAAGTGGCTAAGGCGTCAGCCAAATACAACTAAGGTGGCGGGTTCAAATCCAGCCCGGGCCCGCCAAACAATAATGATGGCTGCAACCAAAAAATAGTCGGGCGTTGTGGCGGGCACTGTGGTCCCACGTACTCAGGAGGCTGAGGCAGGAAACTCACTTGAGCCCAGGAGTTGGAGGTTGCT